CTTAGATAGAAAATTTTCCATAAGTTGTTAACATGGGATGTTGATATTTTTATTGCCTTCAAATCGGCTCAGAAAACGAATCGGTGACAGTAAAATCGGCTTGAAGCTCGTTCGGCTTAAGGCGATTTTATTGAAATAGTAACTTTTCTTAAATTACGTTACTTGCGTTGCATTCTGATTATTTCAATTGTCCCATTTTTTTTTAGATCTAAAAAAGGATTTCACTAAAACATATATTGCTGATATGAAAGAAATAGTAGTAGTAAAAGAAACAGGTTAGGGCATGTAAAGTAATCTGCAAAGCGCCAATCCTGGTATCAGATCGTGTTGTAAATAATTACCATATATTTTACACAAAAATATATAAAATATTCACTGTTCGTGCAAATACTATACCTGTATAGTCGTATTAATATCAGTCGGATCACAAGTTGTTAGGCTTCCCATGATAACGAGAACTTCTCTACTGGCGTGTGTCGGTACAAGTTTTAAAGAAGAGAACGCGTCTTCTAAACCATTTTGTAAAGATGGTTCTCCCAGTAAACTAGTCTTTGACATTGATCTAAGATATTTAATGTGCTTTCGGAAGTTGCCTCCTAACTCGCAAACTTTTTCAGCTCTCTTGTTTTGCATCAGTATAATACCCATTTGGCTGATCGGATTTTGGTCAAAAAATTCTTCTATGAAACCTTCCAAAATCTAAAAATCACAAGTAAACAAACAAGTATTAAAACCCAAAAATGAAATTGAGTAGTAATTTACATGGATTTATAGCAAATATTGCATGCTACCCATTTCAAAAGCTATTAAGGTACGGTGTCGGTGGTGCGATCGGCGACTGCGACTCGGTGCTGGCCTCAGTCGCAATCGAAGCGTTGGGGCGATGCGTTTATAGTCGCAACCGACGAGTTCAAAAGATCAATTTGTGATGCAAATTTGATAAAAAAAACTATTGAAATGATAGACGACACCGAACTTTTAACCCTTTTCAACTTTTATTTGTGACACCGTGAAGAGCCGCCCCTTGTTTCCCACGAATTGAACAATTGTTCTAGTGTGTGAGCAATAAAACATAATTGGTAGGATACAATTTTCTGGCCTGTAAGCAGGTGCATTTTGTTAGTAAGTTAAGCTAGGAGTTTTATTACGTTTTAGGGGTTGCTAATGTTAGTGTTAAATTTTAACTTGTTTAAGTCAGTCAAGACAGTCAAGTCAGTGAGCTAAAAACCACCAACGAGTTTGGTGCATAAATGTTGTTAACAGTCAATTTTGTTAAATGTAAGTAAACATTTGAAAAACAGTCAGCACAGGCTGTTGATCGTTAACTGATGTTATGTTTAAACTTTGTAGCCAGCCACTAACTTGTTTTTATTTTGTTCAATAAATATTTCACATAGAAACGCCAGAACGGACTTTTCTTTAACATATTTTAAAGGTCGCAACTAAACAAATTTTGTAAAATGAATGATCCTGAAAAAAATAATAGTACTTAGATTCTAAAAAAAATTGTTGAAAGAATTGAATATTTCAGTTGTTAAAAATAGTTGCTTACCCGTAATGAGCACAGCATTCGCGTAGGCTTCAGATCTTGACTGGACATCGACTCAGAGCAATCCAAAATAAGAAATAAGTGTCTCATCATACCAAGTTTGGTGTTGCCTTTTTTCTGAGCCTGCCTTCGCCGTTTTGCCCGTAAAATAATGACTGCGACAGAAGCCTCAAGAAAGCCATCATCATCTTCTTTAATAGCCTCCCTACACAAAGAGTATACATAATTGCAAGATCTAGAAATAATATATTATATACCTAGATCGAGATGTAAGCTATTATAGTTTATAGTATTAGTTTTCCTAACCCTTTGTTAAAGAAGCAAGTGAAAAATTGGAATATCTTCACACAAAGTGCTAATTTTGTTCAGTCGCAACATGCAACGCTCAATGTTGTTTAGACAGTTTTAAATGTAAATAAGCACTAATAATAAAATAATTATGTTCGCCCATTTCCAATAAATTTTGTTTTAATTTGTTAAACAAAAAAAGAAATTCAGTCGGCTGTTTTTTGAAAAAAAACTTGATCGCGTCAATTTTTGTGTGAAAATGAGATTTTTTAATACCAAAATAATTTATACTGGGTGATCCAAAAATAAGTTATAGCCATCAACTTGATACACTGAAAATTGTAATGAGAATATGAGCTCTTATCTGATTGAGGATGAGAATGCACAGAAGCATCCCGAAGAACCATGGCAAGAAAGGGACAGTAAGAAGAGAGCAAGGGATAGCCCAGAGCATTCTACCGACACACCAACCAAACAAAGTAAGCTAAAGGACTACTGGCTAAATCCACCTGCTGTAGCAACTAAGAACAGATTTGAGGATTTAACAGAAGAAAGTTTAAACAATGGTGTCATGTTGAAGAAATAAAACCAAAAGTTCCACCTTTATTCGTTTAGAGTTGTAAAGCTATTAACCCATTAAGTGAATTACTGGTGAAAACAGCGGGAAACGACTTTCAACTTAAAATACTTGCGAATGACCAAGCTAAGATACTTCCTAAAACGTCGGAAAAATATACAGTGATCAAAAACGCTCTGAAGGCAAATTTAAAAAACTACACTTTGATCTTGCCTCGCTTTTCTGAGACACTCTGTATCATATAAGATATGCGTCAGCAACTTTTATATGAAGCTATTTTTCGCAAGTTCAACACCAACGGAAATAATGGACTCTATCGCACTAAAAAACCACCCTGCATATACGCAAAACAATGACAAGAGACAATTTAAAAAGAAACGTAAGTTGCAGACATAAAAACGTAACGGCGAACAAAATTAGGATGTGAAAATTAAATTTTCAAATGAAAGAAATTTAACAAAACTTAATACTAAATAAAAGTTCGCAAATTGTTTGTCACAAAAGGCGATCAATTAACGGCCTCAGGAAGTTGTGGGAAGGAAACGATTTTTTCCCAAATAAGCTTACCCCCCAATTCGGGCACCACCTGGCACTTGCTAAATATAGTTTTCCTACAGGGTGATTCAAAATTGGCGTCATTCCTTTTAAGGCGTTATAGAGGCTCCCTTGGGGAGTACCCAAAAAATATTGAAAAATTTTTACAGTTGAAGATCGAATTTCAACTTTGTTATTAAGCATTATTTTGAAAAAATCTCACGTTGGATTGGCAGCCTATTGGAATACTTAAGCATTCAAAAAGAAAAAT